ACAGACTGGAGAACCACTGCCTCCTCAACTAGCAGTCACCATCGATAATAGCAAGACGGCGGCAGGACTTTTGCACTTCCGTTCCAAAGTCGGGAGATGCGACGCCACCCTGCTGATCGACTCTGGAGCATCTTACAACTTCATTTCTAGCAAGTTTGTCCAGAAAAACTAGGGGTGAGCTGTTGAGCTGGCTTGGGCGGGCGTCGCTGGTGTGAAGGCAGCAAAGCAGTGTGCAGAGTCTCAGATGGGAAGCAAGCGAAGTGCACTCCTGTGGGAGGACTTCAGATGGTTCAGAAAGCAGGGAATTGCGTCGAGTAGCGGCCATGGCAGGGCGAGGCGAGCAGGGCTGCACGCTCGGTGGTGGTGACGGCGGCGGCGCCGGCGGCGGCGCCGGCGGCACAAGGGTCATTTAGTGAGCCCCGCCGGCCGCCCCCGCTCTGTACCAAATGACGAGCCTGCTCATGCGGATAACGAGGCGACGTGCGAGAAGCCGTGCTGCAAGGGAGTAGAAACGGGCAGCAAGGCACGCACCTTTGCAGGGTGGGTGGCGGCTCCGCAGACGGGTGGCAAACGAGGGCAGCAGTCCTGCGAACAGGGGGAGATGCGTGCATGTGTATTGGCATATGTGCTGAGGTGTGGTTCGCAGCATCACTGTGAGCGCGTGGCAGGCTGGCATTGTTGCAGCCCAGGTTGTACACACCAGCAGCACAGCACAGCCCCACGAATAGAATGGAAGAGAGCGGTGCCCAATTTTGGGCAAGCAGGCTGGTGCACCGGCGCGGGCTGTACACACCAGCAGCGCGGTCGTGCTGCCGGGTGCGTGCACGACCCGCTCGCAGCCACGCTTGCGGCGCTCCCGCCGCTCAGCCCTGGCGGCGCTCGCGCGCACGGCGGCTCTCAAGCGAGGCAGGCGGCATGCACGCTTGCGCCAATGTCAGCCCTGAGCGGCCCAGGGCAGGGCTTGTCCACCCCCTTCAACTAGGAGCAGGGAACCGTAGCAAACAAGCAGCTAGGCTCGCACCTTTGCAGGGTGGGTGGCAGCTGCGCGGACGCGCGGCAGGCGACGGCAGCAGAGTCCTGCACACATGGGGTAAAGCGGAGCGCGCGTGCGTATGCGCATATGTGCAAGGTCAGTAACCGCAGAATTGTCGGCGCAGCGTCACTGTTTGGCACACCGGGTGCCGCCGGTTCGAGAAGCCATGCGGCATGATGGTGCCGCATGCCCAGTCAAGCGGCCCTGAGCACGGCCCCGATCACAAAGCTGTGTCATTAGTTCACTCGCCACGTGCATCACAAGTGCGCCGTGCGCGGCACACTGCCTGGCGGGCTCCCAGCAGCAACCCAAACACCCTGCCAAGCGAGTTCTGGTTCTCTTGCCTACCTGCGTAGTGAGAAACGGTACGCAGTGAAGCCAGGCGCGCTGGGCAGCGTAAATCTTGAGGTCGCCAGTCTGGCGGATGGGGTTCTCGAACCTCGAGATACGGTGCAAAGGGCAAGCACCTTTCGGCAACGTCTCACGTCGTTCTGGCCGGAATGGCCCCGAAGTGCGGAAAATGTGGCGGACTCGCTGCGGGACGCCGATTTACAGCGGATCGGGGGGTGATGACGTGGCGCAACGAGAGAGCAGAACGGCTCAGATGTCTCCAAGGCAACAGCCTAACAAGTGCAGCGGCACAGTCGTGAGCAAAGCAAAGCGAGCTAGGAGCAGGACAAGACAGGCTAGATAGAGTTCAATGTGCCGGGCAATGCCGTCAGCCAGGCAGGCAGCCTGCGGCCGGCCGTTGGTCCACATCACGCTTTCGCGCGTGCCGGCGCCGCTGGCTCCGTCGAACCGCCCGCAGATAGCGCCGCCTCGGTGGCCGCGTCCCCGGCGCCTTGCTGTCGCAGGTCTCCGAGCACTGCCGTGTTGCTGTCCATCTGCTGCCTGATGCGAGCCTTCATGTCTGCCAGCTCGCCCCGCAGCCTGCTCATCTCGGCGCTCAAGCTGGTCTGCAGCCCGCTCAGCTCTGCACGGTAGCTCTCCACCTGCTGGTTCATGCGGCTGCGCCAGTCCGCTAGGTCCTGCAGCGCCAGGGAGAAGGCGGGGCAGGCGGCGTGCAGGCAGAGCAGCAGGCCCGTGAAACACACGTGGGGCCAAGCCGTGCCGGCCACATGAGCTGGCTGGAGCATGCGAGGCGTCGGGGCCGGCAATGTGCGCCCTGATCGGCAAAGAAGGGCAGGCAGCAGAAGGATCCTTGCAGGCCAGCTGTGTGCCTGCCCCGCTGACACATGCCGCCCGCATGAGCCTGCACATCACCCCACATGCCACGCCTGCAAAACAACCCAACTTGGGCCCACAGCCCACCGTTCCCCACCTTCTTCATTGATTGCACTCTGATGATGAGCTCCTGCTTGCTGTCGCGCAGCTCCTGTATGGCTGCGGGGTCAAAGTCCGCGCTGGACGCGGCGGAGGTGGTCCGCGGCGCGCCACCCTGCACAGGGCCAGGCACCACGGGCAGGCAGGGCGGACAAGAGTAGGCAGAGGCGGGCTAGTACGCGCAGGACAGCCTGGCGCAGGGCAGCTGATCCTCGGCGATTTGCGGAAACCTAGTGTGGGCAGCTGGTGCAGGAGAGCAGCTCCATCAGCGGCTGCACCTGCTGCGAGTGTAGAGAGGTTGGGCTGCTGGTGCTGCCGCTTGCCGCCGCCTGTGCCGCCATGTCACCGGTCAAGAGCCTGCTGTCTGCCTGCGTCGACTGCGGCTATCACAGGTATTCAGGGATTTGACCACACCGAGGCGCGGGCTAAGGAGCTGGGAGCGGAGTGGTTGCGTGCCAACTGACCGCGCTGGAGGGCGGAAAGCTCCACGAGGCTGGTCAAGCGCACAGGGGCGATGTGCTGAGATCGGGACACTGCGGTGCGGGCTGGGCTCACGAACAGCGCTTGGCGCGTGGTACGGCAATACACCCGAGAACACACAGCGTTCTGTCGCCATCGTCAAACGGATTGCATCGACTGAGCCCCCCC